TCCACTAAAATAGGATTCATGGAGGGGCCCAAACAGCTTCCCGATAAGAATATTCAACCGCCGCCAGGTTCCATTTGGACTGTGCATCTGCCTGCCAGCTGCACAGCCAGAGGAGAGGCCACCAAAGAAGAGAGCGCCCTTGAGGCATATTTGATCGCATCAAGCGTGGCATCGCTGAAAACTGGGTAGCTGCTGTAAGTTTCTTGATGTCTTGCAGGAGTCGTACCTCTGATGATGAAGCCCTCTCCTGCATCTGGATCAGCCAAAGAAGAGTAGTCCTGTTGAAGAAGGAAGCAGTGGTCACTGCCTTGAACGCCCAGGTTGATGCTTGGAAGATCTTGCACAGGGTTAGTTCTGCTCTCTTATCTTCCGCCTTCAGGTTGTTGGCGATGTCGCCCACCACAAGGGATGAAGAAGACGCCGGTGCTGCCACCAGAGTATCCACCGTCAGAATCTGCAAGGTCCAGGAAAAGCTGGCATCAAAGTTATAAAAACGACGATCATTGCTCCACGGAGTGGGAAAAGCCCCAGGTTTGGCCCATTGAGTCTTGAGTATCTTAAGAAACATCAATGGAGTTGGGATTTCCTCCTTCTCCCCCTGTGGCTTGAGGAAAGGACCCTTTGGCTTCCTACTTGTTGCAGAGGCAGCAGGTGTCTCAGCAGCAGTAGGAGTACCCCCAGGTCAGCAGTGGCCTTGGCCTTGCGTAGAAGAGACCCGAACAAAGAAGGAAAAAAACCTGTGATCACAGAAGCCTCTGGGATTGGAGAATCCTCATCCTCAGAAAAATCAACATCCTTCTGGCCTTCCTCATCTAAGCAAGATCCCTCACTGGCTGTAGAAGGGGAACCCGACCATTGCTCCTGAGTAGTTGAGGTTCCGGATTGGTTTGGATGACCTCTTTGTGTGATACAAGACAAACTTCACCTAGAAGAATGGGACTTCTGCTGCATCCCTGCTGTAATGCCTTGTGCAATAGCCTGAGCAATAATATTCTGAAAGCTTTCTGGAATATCTGGGAAGGCTGATGAAAGAATGGGAGGCTCCAATTCTGGCCTGGTGCTAGCTGATTGAGGGGCAAGCTGGGCCTACTTGCTGCAGCTGCCTCCTGGCAGTCCCCTGGGTGCTCAGGTGAGAGAGGAGGAACAGGGAGAAATCTCCCCTAGAGGAGTCTTGAGATCTAGGAGGGGACCGAGCAACCGGTGAAAGCCTGCAAGGGTGAACATGACCTGGAGGGCGAAGGGCGCTTGCTGCTTATGAGCACCCCCTTTCCTAGAGGACTTAGAGGTGCTCTTTCTGCTTTTGGCTCTCTCTCTCTCTCTGAAGGAGTAGTTCCCCTGGAAGTCCTCTCGCCGAGATCAGAAGCCTCAGGGAAGGCCCCTGGTCTCCTCGTGGTGTCCACCATCTTGCCAAGCTCCTCCAACTCTGCAACTACTCACAGCTCCGCAGCACCACCTCCAGCCTCCTTCTTTAATGTTTAATGTTAATGTCTTGCCCCACTCAGTTGACTAGGGCTGATGCCAAGCGGCTTTGACGAAGCCCCGTTCCTCCTGCACATGGCCCCCAAGATGGCGCCACCAATCCGCAACTCATTTGCACCACCCGAATGTGAAGCAGCAGGAGACCGTTATTCAACAAAGGGTAGACTTCATCTCAGCATTCAATACCAACATTCCAGATATTCTTCTAACTAAACTAAATCAGTTAGCTGTGCCTGACCACACTTGTAAGTGGATCATAAGGTTCCTAACACACAGGAAGCAGCAGGTGAAATTAGGCAAAATCATATCAGATATCTGTACAATTAGTACAACCCCCACCCCCAGGCTGTGTGCTCCCTCCACTTCTCTTCTCTCCATACACCAATGACTGCATCTTAAAAGATCCCTCTGTTAAAGTACTGAAGCTTGTAGATGATACAACAGTGATTGGTCTCATTCAAGATGACAATGAATCTGCATACAGATGGGAGGTTGAACAACTAGCCTTGTGGTGCAGCCAGAACAATCTTGAACTAAACATACTCAAAAACCATAGAAATGATGGTAGACTTTAGGAGAAACCCTCCTATATCTCTTACAATACTAGACAACACAGTATCAACAGTAGAGTCCTTCAAGTTTCTAGGTTCTATAATATCTCAAGACTTAAAATGGACAACTAGCATCAAAAACACCATCAAATCATAAAAAAAAACCATGAGTCTGCCTATCAAGATAAGGTGGACTGATTGCTTTTGTGGTGTGGAGAAAATAACTTGGTCATTAGCACCTATAAGACTAAGGAGCTTATAGTGGACTATAGAAGGAACAGATCAGACATCCGGCCTTTGCTTATCAATAGAGACCGAGTGGAGCAAATGGCCAGTTTTAAGTGGGTGTTATCATAAAAGAGGACCTGATCTGGGGCACTCACCTTGCAGCACTGGTCAAAAGGGCCCAACAGAAATTATATTACCTGAGACTTCTCAGGAAACAATAACTGAATGAAAAACTGCTGGTGACCTTCTACCTCTGAACCATAGAGAGTATTTTAACTTACTACATCTGTGTATGTTTTGCCAATGCAGATAGAACTCCAGAGGGTTAACGTCATTGTCCAGAGGATCGTTGGTTGCCCTCTCCCGGCTTTGGAAGAGCTTTATAACTCCCACTGCCTTAAGAAAGTTCAAAATATTCTTAAAGATCCATCTCATCCTGGGCAGCCTTTTTTTGAACTATTACCATCTGGCAGACGGTACAGGATAATAAAAACAAGGACAAATAGGTTGAAAAACAGCTTCTATACCAGGGCAGTTACAATATTCTATTCTACTATATAGTGCAATACTAATGCAATAAAGGGTTTTTAATTCAATTGCATACAATGTGAAGGATGTGTGTTTGTTTTATTTTTATAGTTATAATGTACGCTGAAAATGGCATTAAATTTTGTTGTACGATGTACAATCACTGTTCCCTCTAAGGTGCGCGGCCACGCGGCCATGCACGTGGCAAAAAAACACCGCGCAGCAGTGTTTTCTGTCACAGGCTCTGGAAGCTGAGGGGCCTCAGAAAATCTAGGGTTAGCACGGGCGCAGGGATGGCGGCAGGAGCTTACATGGCACAGCCGGTCTCCTAGGACCTCCTAGGGGCAGGCTGCGCCGCTCATTACCGTCAGTCGCCCCATGTTCAGCAAAGCAAATGCGAGAAGTCCTTTGCAGGCGGCTAGAACTGGCTGCCCACAAAGGACCTCCCCAGATTTGTTTTGATGAGCACGGAGCGACTGACGGTAGTTTGCGCTGGCCGCGGCCCCTCAAACTACCATCAGTCGCCCCGTGTTCAGAAAAGCAAGCCCAGGGAGGTCCTTTGTGGGTGGCCAATCCTAGCCGCTTGCGCCCGGTGCTGTGGCTGAAATGAACCCCCAAAGCCCCCGCCACCACCAGAATATCTGCTGCCACCTCCTCCTCCTCCAACAGCACTGCCGGATTTACCACCCAATGCTCCGGCTGAGGTGAAGCTGCCAAAGCTCCCGCCGGCACCCCCGCCCATGGCAGTGGTGCCTCCCACTCCACACAGAGCACCTGAGCTGGCCCCCGCGTTCTCCCTCCCCATTCCTTCTCCACCATGCTTTTGAAGAACCATGAGGCTGCGGGAGCCAGTAGGAAGGCGGCGGAGGGAACGGGAGCAGGAAAAAAAGGCCTCATGGCTTCTCAAAAGCATGGCGGAGGTGGAGTCGGCGGCAGGGGTAACGCGGAACCCAGCTCAGGTGCTCCGAGCAGAGGGGGAGGCACCGCCGCCGCTGCCATGAGCAGGGGCGCCAGCGGGAGCTTTGGCGGCTTCACCTCAGCTTTAGCGCCGGGCAGCAAATGTGGTGGTGCTGTTGGAGGAGGAGGAGGAGGCAGCGGCAGCAGTTATTCTAGTGGCGGCGGGGGCTCGTTGGCATCTTCAGCAGCAGCCTTGCTCCCTGTGAAGAAAACCGAAGATGGAACAGATCCACGCAGATGACGTCGCCGCAACATGACTGGAGGAGGAATTCTGGGAGTTGAAGTCCACAAGTCTTAAAGCTGTCAGGTTTGAAGATCCCTGTTTTTTTTTTCCTAAAGGGTTANGCATTCTCAATGTATGGCCTAGCCAGCGCCAGCATCTAAGTTCTATAATGGCAGATACATTTTCATTGATATCACATCTTCGGCGGATTTCATGTATTGGTACTTTATAAAACCTTAGTAAGACCACACCTGGAATACTGCATCCAGATTTGGTCACATTACAAAAAAGAGGTTGAGACTTTGGAAAAAAGTGCAGAGAAAAGCAACTAAGATGATTAAGTGCTTGGAGACTGAAACATATGATGAACGATTGCAGGAATTGGATATGGCTAGTCTAGAGCAAAGAACTAGGGGTTACATAATAGCAGTGTTCCAGTATTTGAGGAGCTGTCACAAAGAATGGGAGGGGGCAACTTATTTTCCAAACCACCAGAAGGCAAAACAAAAAGCAATGGATGGAAACTAATGAAGGAGAGAAGCAACCTGGAATTAAAGAGAAACTTCCTAAGTGTATAATGGATGGAAACTGAGCCAAGGAGAGATTCGACCTGGAAATAAGGACAAATTTTCTGAGAGTGAGAGCAATCAACCAATGGGACAGCTTGCCTTCAGAAATTCCGGGAGCTTCATCACTGCAAGCTTTCAAGACGAGACTGGATTGCCATCTGTCACAAATCTCCTGTTTGGGCGAGGTGGGGGTGGACTAGATGACCTACAAGGTCCCTTCCAACTCAATCTGTTAATCCTACTACTTGTCGCTACTTCCTTGGAGACAAGTCTTTTTGATACCCGATTACCGCTAAATTAAATGGTTATACTCATACTATTTTCTATTGAGAGTTATCCCCGCTCACAAAGCTAATTTTCTTCCCCGAAGCTTACACCTCCAATCCGTACACTTCGTTCGAACTTCCGCCGCCGGAGCACTGCGCATGTATATTAATTCGCGGCTGCTATTTCGAACGGGTTATGACCCAAGATGGCGGCGCCCTGCGCTTTTGAGCCTTGGCTTGAGAGTCGTCTCGAGGCCCTTGGATTAGATGGAGATGTATACGGTGGATATATACGAGGCGTATTAAGGGAAGCGGAGTGCGATGCAGAGCGGCTGGAAGGTCTAGCAGGGGCCTTGGCTGCGGGGGAACCGGTGAGAATGACGGCCAATTAGTCCTGACAGGCTTCCGTAGCTATTTTTTTTCCCCTTCCTCCCCTCCCTCTCTCCCTCTTTTCCTTCCCCTCGTATGACACTATCTAAATGGATTTCGTATCTTTCTTGGCTTTTGGGAATATATATTTATTCGTATGTATAAAATATACCCAAAGTGTCCATGAAGAATTCCAGGAATAGCTAGGTATTTAGGTGTATTGCACCGAGTGTAGTTTTATTTTTTATCTTTACTCATTATTCACGTAAAGTATCCCGAGTTGACAAGTTATGTTTTCAAATCTGGGTTCAAATTTTGTTTATTCCTCGTGTTTTCTGAATGGGTTTAAGCAACAGTCTGTTTCTTATCAAACATCCTCATTCCTTACATTACAAATATGTTCTTCTCTTCTGAACACTAAACAACCAGGCTCTGTGATAAAGTTGGCATCAAGTTCGTCAAGATTGTATTAAATGTTTTGAAAAGCCTTAATGTAACTACGTTTATTGTTGCAACCACAAGTTATACCTTATAATGTGCCATAAACTACAGTAGCAGTTAAATAGTAAGATTGCAACAGTAATAAAAATTATTAGCTTTAAAAAGGGTACAGAAAATTAAGCCAAGACTGCATTTCTTTTTATGTTTAAGGGATAAGAGAACAAAAATAGAAACTTGGCTGCTATCTTGGAAACATATCTGCAAGAAAATAGTTCAACTTTTTGAGATTGGAACTGTATAAATGTTATTTATTTATCAATCAAATTTAGAAATCAACAACTCACTTTAAGAACCGGTTAGTCTTTTTGGTTGCCTCAAACTTTTTGAGTCTCTTATGTCTCAGGACTACAATTTAAGAATGTTTTCTTTTGCTTTCCACTAAAAAAAAAGCCAGCTTATTTTTGGCAATGCTACAATCCTGTATCAATGTATTTCCATTGAATAAGTGGGACCTGTATTCGTAGCTTACCGTCTGCTTTTATGTAACTGTTTAAAATACTTTATTGTGACTCACAAAATTCTAAGTAATTCTCTTGTTCTGGTAATCCTATATGTATTTGTTCTATTGTTCTCCTGCTATAATTCAAATGATTCCATTTTTATTAGGAAACAAGTTAAATTGGTCCATAGTCTAAAATATAATTGTTTTTTAACGGATTCCTTCACTAAATGATCAGCATCTGTGATAACTTTGGCATCAACTATCATTAAGAGCTTCCCAATTAAGCCAAACTTTCAACCATTGGTAATGTAATAATTATACACATAAAAACTGCATAAATTTACATCTTTAGTGGATTTCAGAGCGTATAGAATATATTATATTATATATTTATTTTAGATAAGATTTTCTGGATTCAACTGAATAATTTCTCTGTTCCTGATCAGGATGAAGATGTATTACAAGAAGTTTGTAAAGAAATAATTAAAAAATGGTCAGAGGCCCAAGATATTGAAATCAGCGAGAAGAAAGAAGGTATTAAATGGCACTCTTTGTGGTATTCAAGATGCTGTGTGGATTTGGATACTTTTGTATGATTTTCACTGCAAAAAATACTTTTTATCCCCTTTGCATTTTTTTTCCAGTTCTGATTTCATGACATAGGTACTCAGCTGTGCAGTCTCTTATTTTACATTTACTCTATTTCATTTTATTTTACATTGTTTTTGTTTTTATTAATAGTTTTATTTTGCTGGAATTTTTAATTTATTTCATCTGAGGCTGTAAATAAAGTTATTGTTATAATTTTGGCTTTTAAACATTGCATTCAAATTGGAGGAAATAATGACTTCTGGAAAGCATCATGTTCACATGCAAGAAAAACAAAGACTTCTTGGTGGACTTAATAATTACTTTTTCTTGCTTTCTTTTCCAGATGATATCCAAGCCATCACAAACATAATTGAAAAGCAGGCACAAATTGTTGTGAAACCTAAAGAGGTCTTGAAGGAGGATACACTTCAGAAAGCTGCTCTCCTGGCACAATATGCTGAAGTAACAGATGATGAGGAATATCCTTTCTCTGCTGCAAGTTCTGAAAGAGTCTATTCTTTAACTGGCTGATTCAGTGACTCAGGGTGAATGGTATTCTTTGGTTAGCTAGTTTTTTTGTTATAACCTGATCTGTGTTATAAATTTAGAGTAGAATGTACGCAAGAACTTTAAATGTAGGTCAGAGCAAAGATACACCCTAATGATTGGACAGGGATAACTAATAACCAACTGTGGTTTAATTAGAAAAGAAGAATCTCATTATTTTACCATCTATTTAACAGATGCTATCTTTATGATTATGCCAGAAATAATAAGGGTTATATACTCATCACCCATAATATTATTGAAGGATGAAGTAAGTAGAAAACTACTTCAAAATAATTTAAATGACTTTAGCATGGACTAAACACACTCATGTTGAAAATTTCTTTTTTTAGCCATGGTAGCTTGGGATATAGTTTTCTGAACTCATAAAAAATCTCTGGTTCTCCACCAGAGATTTTTTATGAGTTCAGAAAACTATATCCCAAGCTCACATGGCTAAAAAAAAAAAAAAAAATTCAACATGGAGNCTCTGCAACAAAACAAGACAGACACAGACTTCAACAGATAATTAGAACTGCAGAAAAAACAATTGCTGCCAACCTGCCTTCCATTGGGGACCTGTGTAATCAAAAAAGGGCTGTGAAAATATCTACACACCCCTCACATTCTGGACATAAATTGTTTCAACTTCTACCCTCAAAACAAGGGCATTGCACACCAGAACAACTAACACAAGGACAGTTCCCCCCTGCATGCCATCACTCTGCTAAATAACTAATTCCAACAACAAACTATTTACTAAGACTGTTACCTTCCTATTACCTATTTCCTTTTTTATTTATTTTAACTATAACTTTGTTGCTTGTATCTTTATGATTTATATTGTTTATTTAGTTTCCTAGTATGATTTATGTTGATTGCTTATTTAGTATCCTATGATTACCATTAAGTGTTGTATCTTATGATTCATAATGAATGTATTTATGATTACTATGATCATGATTTATCATTTATATCTTTTATGTACACTGAGAGATTATGCACCAAAGACAAATTCCATGTTTGTCCCATCATACTTGGCCAATAAAGAATTCTATTCTATTCCGAAACCTACCCTTGCAGCAGAGTTATAAAACTTTCTGCAGAATTAGCTCTAATTCAGACAAAAGTCCTAGAAATTGTTCTCCTTAGGCCTAGTTACATTATGGTGGCAATTTTCTATTCCAAAAAACTTCAATTAAGAAATAGATCCATCATACTCACTCCTCCAAGACATTTCACTGTACTTATAACCTCATCATATTTCCTTGTGCAATTGATATAGTTGTTGTGCCATCCAATGAAGCTGAAAATTGAATAGGATATTATTCTTTACGTATCATGACTTAGACTTAGAATAACTTTATTGTCACTTTAAATGTACATTAATCAGGATACATTAAAATGAAATTTCATTGCACACAGCTCTCAAAAAGTCATTACCTCTAATATAAACTACAATACTACAAAAATATAAATATACATACATACACACACACACACACACACACACACACACACACAAATACCCACATATATTATATGACACAGAGAAACAATACAATCTAGTTCAGATGTATAGATGTATATGGCGAGAAAAATGAATCTTGTGAATTTACCAGATGGATGGCATAGGGAACAAAGCTGTTACAGAATCTGGTAGTCCTGCTAGTAATACTTTAAAATCTTCTCCCAGAGGGGAGCAACAGAAACAAACCATAAAGTCCGTGTATGGGGTCTCTAACTATGGGGTGTGTGGGATCTCTACCTATGTATTGAGCTTTAAGCACATAGTGCTTATAAGCAGTATCCAGAATAACAGGAAGCGAGTTTCCTATAATCTTCTTGTCTGTCCTTACCACTCTTTATATGTCATGACTTTGGCAACTGAAATAGACTTTGTCTGCCTTGAACAAATGTCACAGTGGATTTTCATGCATTGCACTAACTTCATTCCTGGTCTAGCATAATGTATTTATCTACTATAGCTTAGTATTACCTGCAAACCACAAATTAACAACCAGAATTTTTAAAAATACAACAAAATATTCTGACTTAACATGATTTACAAAATCAGATTAATCCTCAGAAATTATTAAGATAGTAACAAAAAGGGTTTAGTTGGTTAAATAGGAGAACTAGAATAAGATTTTAATATCTACAAAAGAAGAATGCCATTGTCCTTTGTTACATTTGTTGATTTTTGTTCATCATTATACTGCTTCAGTGGAAACAAGATACTAGGCAAGAAGGCTTTTTGTTGTTATGAGTATACAAAACAGCTTCAGCCCAGCAAGCCACTGCCTGGAGAAATGCAAACATACATACAAATCAGGAATCTTGTAGCATCCTAAAGAATATATCTATTTTAGACATGACAAATCCTAGAGAGAGGAAAGATCAGAATATAAAGTTGCTGATAACACGATGTTAAAAACCTTCCATTTACAGCATAAAGTCTTAAAAAAAACAATCACTGATGGATTATACACTCATTCAATCTGTAAGTACAGTCGGGCAATTAGAAGCAAACAAGTTATTGGAAGGTGTAATTAGGCGGTAATTCACGGAGTGGGGCGGAGGACAGCAATATTTCAAGGAGTTTACGATAGCTCTAAACTGAAATGGCAAAACGTGCTTGTCTCTCAACTTGAAAACAATTTAATTAAAAAAAGGAAAAGGAAAATGCGTGGTAATAAGAAACCACTGACGCGTTTAACAACTTCATCAGAACACAAGTTAAGCCACAGTGATTACTAGCAGCAACCCAATTAGACTTAACTTGCAAAAGAATATAAAGGGGAAAATTATTTTTATGTTACTGAAAAGTGAAAGCTTTGAACCGAGAATATCCTATATTTAGAAGTAGCAGTTAATTTTACGATATTTACAAATAAGAGTCCTACTTACATTTAAAATTTATCTTTCTCGGTAAACTTCATACCTAATTTAAATTTGCCTGAAACAGCCAATGAATCAAATTTAAAATTTCTGCCTCTATGATCTGTAGTAAATTTTGGGAACTACGGTAGTCGGGAAGGTCCAAAATAGTTGGTATGGAAATAGGCGAGGCATGGAATATTGCAAAGACACAAGGGAATCGCCGCGGAATAGGAAGCTCGCTTGGCAGCACCAAAGGGGGAAAGGGGGAGGAGAGGGAGGGGGAGGGACAGAGAATTAAAAGCATGGAATGACTTCGCTAGAGAAAACTCATCCTTAAATGTATTGTTTTTATTCCCTCTCCCTAAAACACCTGTGTTTTTAATAAAGTGATTGGAATAAATTCAATTGAAAATCGTAGCTGAGTGACAAAATAACTGTGTTGGAAGGGATCTTAAGAGGTCTTCTAGTCCAGCCCCTTGCTCAAGCAGGGAACCCTGTACCATTCCAGACAAGTGGTTGTCCAGTCTTTTCTTAAAAGCTTCTAGTGTTGAAGCACCCACAACTTCTGAAGGCAGTCTCTTTCTCTTTCTCAGTTCAACCTGCCTCACAGAAATATTGTGGTGGGGAAAATAGGAGTAAGAAGGTGTGTTGGATAAATTTGCTGCCTGATTCTTTGTAAAAATAATAAAGGAGAAATAAAATAAAATAAATATTGCACCCATTTTGCATTAATTTGCGATTATTTTATATGCAGAATTATAGTTTACCTATTTGAGGATTATGATGAAGAGCACATGGTTCATTGATATTGGCTTGAGAATCAACTACTCAATTTAGAAACCAAATTTTATTTAGAAGAGAAATAACATGTACTAAATTTGCAAGTATCAATTTAAAAAGAGTATTGGGTTGTAAGGTGAAGTTCCTTGTGTGAAACCCTAAAGAATTACTGCTGCAGTTCTACCTCAATACTCAACTGTTTTAAAACTAATCGAATTTGGTACTCAATTTATTTTGACAAAAAAATCCCTGTACTTGTCATTAGTTTGGTACTCAACATGCAAGCTGTCAGTGTCGTGATTCACTATTCTTTCCAGCCAAAAGAAAAGGTGATGTGTTAGTCATAGGACAAGAGACATTAGCTCTTGTCCTATGCACATCCCCTTGCAGTCTTATCTTAGCTTCTATGGTTATTTTGTGTATTTTTGTGCTTTTTGTCCCTCAGCACTATAGGTAAAGTGAAGTTTTTATTTAATTTAAGTATTTGTTCATTTTTAAGTTTATTTCTCTTTTTATATATTGCCTTAAAATGTGCATTGACTTTGGTTTGGGAACGCATTAAATTTATTTACATTATTCCTTATGCGAAAAAAATATTTGGTACTTATATTTAGTACTCACTGCATCTCGTGGAACCAACTGACGATGAGTACAGAGGTACCACTGTAATCTAAATTTATAAAATAACTATAATGATCTGTGATAGCCAATGTGACAGAGTCTTGTGACAGAGTTGTGGGAAGTTATCATCCAGCCCTCTCCCAGAAAAATGAAATATCCTAGGAAATATTGAAAAGGCAGAATATTTCTCTGGATGTG